CTCGCTTACTCACTCACTCACTCACTCACTCACTTACTTACTTACTTACTTACTTACTTACTTACTTACTTACTTACTTACTTACTCACTTACTCACTTGCTGAAATTGTCCCTAGGCGCGTGTGAGAGAGTGAATGGTTGTTTGTCTCATCTGTCTCTATGTGTCCATGTGATGGACTTGAGACCTTCTACCTGCCCCTCACACAGTGACTGCTGGATATGGGCAACAGTGACTCCTGTGTCCCTGAAAGGAAGAAGCAGGTATAGATGATGGATGGATGGATGGATACTTCAGTTTACTCCCACAAATCAATACCATGAATAATAGGTTAACCATCAACTCCAAATTGGCCCTTTGTGTGTGAGAACATGGTTGTCCATCCTGTGTGTCTTTCTGTTGGCTCTGTGATGTAGGGTTAGGCAATGTTGTCAAAAAGTTTGCCATGATCAATTGTGGCAATTAATATGACGGTTAATAGATGACAATTACACTTCCATGTAGCCGACGTTGTGGCCTTGAACTGCCTTTCTGGTTTTCCTCTTATTTCAGTTTACGCCGGTGTGTCAGATTGTAGGATTGGGATTAGCATTAGTTGCTCTGCGCTGCCTTTCTGCCATTGGTCTCACATGCACGCATAATAGTGAAAGTGTGTTTCACACACAAATAGRTCATCACAAGGCACTAATTGCAGTAATTCCATTATGCCAAATATTAAATGTTGATAGATTTTCTGATGATTATTTGYGCATAATATGATTTTGTGCAACCTTACTGTGATGGATAGGCAACCTGCTCATGGTAGACCCTGTCATTCACCTGTTGGTTGGCTGCTGGAGATAGACCCACAAGTTTGAGCCTGATGATATAGTGTATAGGATAAAAGGGATGGATAAATGGATGTTAACGTTTGTGAAATGAGCATTGATGTTTGGACTACCGTGATGTCACTCAGTAATCCTTGGTTGATTCTACCTGKTTGCTAATATCATCCATCATCTTTTGATTTTTCCAGTTTGGTCAAAGGGGCAGCAGCTTGAGCAGAGGGGCAAAGACATTTCTTTCCATACTCATCTCTTCTCTTCTTCCAAGGCATTCCCAGGCCATCCAAGTGACATATAGTCTCTCTAGTATACCTCACTAAAGTTGGTGCACACAGTTGCACACAAAAATAGTGAGAGAAGAGCAAATCTAACCTCAAGTGTACAAAAACACACAACAGATTCCACCACATCATTATTTATTAAACAGAAATGAAGCTGAAATGAAAAAGTTACGAGTGGATAACCAAGCTCTGTGATCTGGCAGCCTGCAYAGCCTCCTTTAGCTGCAATAACTCTCTGCAGTGGTTTTCTGTATGGATTTATCAGCTCCTGTGGCCCACTCTTCTTTATAACGATGGCTCGGTTCATTGAGGTTTCACACATTTGTTTCTGCACAGCTCTCTTGAGACTCCACCACAGCATTTCAGTCAGATTGAGGTCTTTGACTGAACCTTGATTGATTTAATYTTTTTTTCCTTTTCAGTTGTTCGAGTGAAGATTTGCTGCCTTGTTTGAGGTCATTATCCTGTTGAATTATCCATTTTCAGATAAGCCTCAACTGTCCGACCTCACCTTTAATTCTAGAATCCTACAGAGAAKTTCAGTCAACTTGATGTAAGTTTTAAAATAGGCTCAAATCATCAMCCCTCCTCCATTGTACTTCAAAGATGGTGTGAGGTGCTGATATGCTTTTTGGTTTTCTCCAAACATGCTGTGCATTATAGGTAAGCATYTCTACTTTGGTCTCATCTAAAGGTTTGTGGTTCGTTCAGATTAAACTTTGCGTAGATGTGCTGCCATGATCTTTCAGAGAAGAGGTTTTATTTAGTAAACTCTCTTGGAGTTTTATTTTTTTGCTGTTTGTCTGGTCGTGTATTTTAACCTTTAACAGGGGTGTCACTAGGTTTTAAGGACAAGGGGGGCTTCTCCCCCAGGAGACACACAGAATATATATATT